TGGGCACCATCAGCTTTCTTCGCCACATTTGCTTATGCACCCATTTGTCTTCAGTGATCCCTTCGACACCTCGTGATCACACAGGCTGATAGGTTCTTCCATGTGGGCTTTGTTGCTTCTGAGCTAGATGGCTCCCTGGTCCTTTACCCAAGTGTACTGAGCCCTGGCCTGGGTGGTGCTCCAGAGGGGGTTGGAGGGTGTGGAACAACCCGAGGAGCACGCTGAGAAGGATGCAGGACAAAGGTGGTACCTGGTGCCAGATGTGGCCATGAGGACCAGACACCAGAGTTCACCAAGATGAGCTTGTCTAGTCCACTCTTTGAAAACGACTATATGGGCGACAGAATCTGATTTAAAAAACAACTTCACATTTTATTTTATGGAGTCTAGTCATTTGTTGGGTTGAAAGCAATGCGATTAAGTTCTGATACAGACGCCAAATAAATGCACCCCTGCCCCATGCCGCACAAGGAGCACTTGCCATGATGTAATCAGCCTTGAAGGCGATTAGCAGCACTGGTCAACCGAGAAGAGGAAGCCCCTCATCAAGGCGGAATGACGCAGTGCCTGCACAGTGGGCTCAGCATTACAGCTGTGAGGACGGCGCAGGGCCGGGCTGTGTTTCCCTCTGTTGGACGCAGTGTTGTGTGCGTGGAAACCAACTTCACAGCACCTAATAGCAGTAGCAACAGCACTGGCAGCTTACAGGGGCTCCACAGCAAAAGACCTGCTTTTTACTTAACTGGTGTATTATATACTTTACACAGAGAAACGAGAAAGAAACGTTACAAAGGATTCTAAGTAATTTATTCCCACCCACCCCCAAACACAGCCCGAAACAAAAAACACTGAGTTCCACTCAGGTCTTCTTATAGAATGAAATAAACACCCCCCCACCCCCACCCCACCCCCCAAAAACCAACATCCAGGAGACACCCTCACGATGGCTGCTCAGTTACAATTGCTATTAGAAATGGTTTCCTACGAAGGAGAATGCACTTGTTCTTAGGTTAGTAGCACGCGTAATGTATCATTTAAAGGTAGAAAAGTCACCTTTTGGAAGGCACAGCTTGCTTCCAGCTCCCCAGTGGAAATCATAGTCTGTGTTATATGCTACAATGCCTGGCCAGGAGGAGCCCGTCCCCAGAGCCAACTCCAGCCTGGGCCCCTTTGTGGAGCGTCCCCATGAGATGTGCCTGGGTAAGAGGCTGGGAGGTTTTCTTTCGATCTCCATCATCAGGTGAAACTGCAAGCAACTTCGCTGTACGAAGCAGCACCTGGAACCAATCGTGGATGACAGGAGAGCAGAATGAAGACAGTGAACAAGATGGCATGCAGGAGCTAAGGCGTGCCTTGGCGAAGGCCTTAGAATGAGAACAAAACAAAGCAAAACACAGGAGCCCTCGGGCATGTCACAGGACACATTTTTAGGAAAATGAGGGTAGTGCTTTTTCCACATGCTTGTGGAGAAGAAAGACTGGGTTAGGGGTTGGATATTGGCTTCATCAACAATGTAACAAATGCAGGGAGGGTACAATGTCAGTTGGCTTGCGGTCAGTTACATCACAAATGCAACTTGGCCTCGTTCCCCAGGAAGACCGCCGAAGAGACTGTTCATTGGGGACCTTGAAAGTGCATTCAGTTGACAAAACAAGTATGCCTGATGGTGGAGCCCTGGTGGCCCAGTGAGTTACACAGTGGGCTACTAATCACAACGTCGGTAGTTTGAATCCATCAGTTTATTCATAGGAGAAAGAGGAGACTGTTTCCTTCAGTAAAGACCTACAATCTTGGAAAGCCTACATGGGGTCACTAGAGTTAGAGATAGCCAAGCCACGGTATTTTCAATTACCATATATACTTGAGCATAAGCCTACCTGAATTATCAGTTGAGGCACCTAATTTTACCACAAAACTGCATAAAAATGTGCTAAGAAGCTTGGCTTATACACGAGTATATACAGTGCCTCATATGCATATGAAAATTAGATACTGAATGAGGAAGATCAAAGAAGAATTAATGTGTCTGAATTGTGGTGCTGGTGAAGAATATTGAAAATACCATGGGCTGCCAAAAGGACAAACGAATCTGTCACGGAAAACGTATGACCAGAGTGCACCTAAGAGATAAGGATGGCGAGCCTTATCTCACAGACTGTGGACATGTTGTCAGGAGAGATCTTGTTTAGTGAAGTCGAGGGGCAGCGACAGAGGAAGGTTCTCGACAAGCTGGACTGACACCTTGCCTGCGACAAAGGGTTCAAACACCCGAACAATCGTGAGGATGGTGCAGGACCAGGCAGTGCTTCGTTGCGTTGCGCATAGGGTGGCTATGGGTTGGAACCGACTTGATGGCACCTAAGAGCAACAACATGAGTTGGCGTCAACACAGTGGCAATGGGTGGTAGGTATGGTAGAGGAGGAACACGTTGTTATGACAGATGAGGGGGTTTCCAAATGTTCTTAGACAAATGGCATCAAGCAATAATGGAATCGCTCCACCAACTTTTGGAAGACTCTTTGTACATGAAAGGTCTTGAAGGAAGAAATAGGAATGGAGGGGGATGCGTGTTTGCACTGGTTTCAGACATCTGAGTGGTGTTTGTCCGAGTCCCCTCTGACTAGGGCTAGGCCAGGCTGATGTTGAAAAGGTTCCTTTTCTCGGTAATACAAGAAATCCTAACTTTGAGCCCCATGTGATGAACAAGCCTACAATGTGACTATCTAGGCCAGGGGTCCTCAAACTACAGCCCGCTGGCCACATGTGGTCCACTGAGGACATTTATCCGGCCCGCCAGGTGTTTTTGCCCCATTTTGTTTTTTTATTTCAAATTAAGGTATGTGCAGTGTGCATAGGAATTTGTTCATAGTTTTTTTTTTAAAAACTATAGTCCGGCCCTCCAATGGGTCTGAGGGACAGTGAACTGGCCCCCTGCTTAAAAAGTTTGAAGACCCCTGATCTAGGCTATTCATAAAAATCTCTGGTGGCAGCGTGAGCTAGGTACTGGGCTGCTACCTGCAACGGAGGCCATTCAAATTCACCAGCCACTCCTCAGGAGAAAGATGAGGCAGCCTGCTCCTGTCAAGACAGACAGTCTTGAAAACCTCGTACGGGATGGAATCAACTCTATGGCAGTGTGTCTGGCTTGGTTTTGGAGTGACTCACACTGCGCAGGCACTAGACTCCCTGATTCCCTGAGGTGGCTGGGGCACCGTCAGTGTCATGGAGTGCTGTGTCAGCCAGTGAGGACTGTCAGTACGATTAGCGGAACCTGTATCCTAAGAGGGCCTTATTCAAACAAGCTGCCCCAGAGAGATGGGTGGCCAAAGGCCTCCTGTGTATTGCACAGAGGGCAACATGACCAGCATGGTGCTGTGTGGTTTCTTATTTCTTGATCTGTCCTGCTCTCAAAACCAGTCCCTCTCATCTGACCACCTCTAGACTATTCCAATTATTTTGCTCTTAAAAAAAAAAAAAGACAAGGATCAAAACCCCAAAGACCAGACTCTGTGGCGTCATTTCACTGGAAGTCACAAAGAAACCCATCTCCGAGAAGCCAAATGACAATGCCTGGAAATGATACTTTTTGTAAAGTAAAGCCAGCTGGATCAGCTGGCATGGATTTCCATGTGCGTGTGTGTCTGCGCAGGGTCGGAATCGTTTATGGCATGCAAAGCTCTTGTCCTGAAACTGGGTGACAGAGCAAAGGGGTGATTCTGGTCACCGTGGCTCACCCCTCAACAAGGGTTGTGACTGGGGGTCCTGGAGAAGTCGGGAGACCCAAGAGACTACTAAATATACACCGGCCACAGACCAGACTCAATCAGAAAGATGTGACTCCCAAGAGGGGTGGGTGCTCAGTGGAGGGAGACCCCTGAATGGCCTTTAAGCTTCAAGTCATGTTTATGGATCCTCTGTTCCCACACATTCTAGTAGGTCAGCCAGGCAGCCGTGAGCCAATCCAGTCTGTTCCTAAGCCTTAGAGATGGCCATGTGGGGTCCCCACTATACTGAGCCCTGCCAGAGATGGTGGGAGTGGGGCAATAGTGATGGAAAGTAGCCAAGGGTGCTCTGCCATTGTCCATTCCCAAATCTAACAGTCTTCTCTAAGGCGGAGGCTGAGCATCACGATTTGGGTGAGAAGGCTGCTCAACAAGGTGTGTGTTGGGGGGCGGGGGGCTCTCTGCTCTTACCCTCCCTCCCACACACATGGCCCCCTCACCACTCGGCTGAGGAATGAGAGCTATAGTCAACAGAGGAAACGATTTGTAGCTTCCAAGATTGAAACCTTTCCCACAATTCTCTCCCACTCCAGCCTGGTAAACATAGGCCTGGGGCATTCAGGGCCAGGTGACTGTGTATGGGCTAAAACACTAGGTGTTCTGTGGACAGAACGTAGATATTGACCCCCAAGAAAAAGTGGAGACACAGTTCCTTATAACCACACAATCTCTTATGACCCACGCTGGCACATCAGCAAAAAACAGAGTGCAAATCACATAATCAAATAGTCCATGAAATTTCCTGGGCGTTTACAAAAAAAAAAAGGATTTCTCCACCCCACGCAGTGGACACCTGGTTTTAAAGCTGCCGGACTTGCTTTTCTGTGCTTTTTATATTCACGTCTAACTTATCCACTTTGGTGGTGAGCCGGTCCAGGATGTCATCTTGCTCCTCCAGCTCCGTCTGCATCCCCAGAGCTATGTCCTTCAGGCGGCCCAGCCCCACCGACAGCTCACCTGCAGGGGAAGGACGACACACAGCCTCAGCGCAGTTACATCACTGGGTCTGCTTCTTCTAACGCCGGCTCTGGTCACACGTCCCAAAATGGGTCCAAGTGAAAGGCTGTGTGCTCAAGAAAAGGTAATTCCCACTTTTATAGAACCTTCTGCCCTCCTGCAGGGAGACCTATTGCTAATACTTCTAGGCCTCCCGTAGAAGCCTTGATGGCACAGCGGATTAGGCTGCAAGACTGGGTGCCCCTGCACAGATTTACTGTCTCAAAAAAGCCTCAACAGCAGGGGTGGAGCATGTCTGGCCCTTGGGCCTTTTAAGTCCCACGGAATCAATACTAGCTAACATCACATGCCTCACCAAAGAGAAGCAATTCCAACCATCGCATTCTCTGACTCACAGTGACCCCCAGCAGGTTTCTCCTGTGGAGCAGCTGCCAACCATGTGGATGGCCACCCAACGTGTAACCACTACATCACCGGGGATGCTAGCCATCACATTAGGGGTGAATTAATTAAACTTTGACCCAATAGAGCAGGCTGGTGGTGCAATGGTTAGGCATTGGGCTGCGATTCACATGGTTGGCAGTTCAAAATCACTAGCAGCTCCTCAGGAAAAAAAAAAACTTTCTACTCCCACAAACAGTTACAGTCTCAGAAACCCACAGGGGGTCGCTATGAGTCAGCACTGACTGGACTTCAGTGAGTATGTCTAAGTTGATAATTTTGTATGGCCTGCAAATGATGTTATAAATATCCAAGTGGCTCTTGCCAGAAAAAAGGTTCCCCACCCCTGCTGACTCAGTGGCCGTTGGTTGGGTGTCTTTGGTTCTGGCCTCCTGGTAGAGGTCTTGGAGTGGTGCCAATGGCCTGGCACTACCCAGAGGGCAGGTGATCTCAGTGTCCCCAGCTGTACTGTAGCAGGCAGGCCTGGAGATCCACTTCTATAAAGATGACAGCCAAGAACCCCCACGGGACAGTTCTCCTTTGTAACACAGGGGACTGCCAAGAGTTGGCGCTGACCTAATGGCAATGGGATTTGGTTTTTGGGTCCTCCCAATTTTTCCAGATCCACACAGGTTCCTGGCTGCCTTTTAACCTCCTAGCAGGGTTGTGGCACAACACACGCTCTTTGCACGGGAGAGCTGGCTGGTCACAGCCAGCCTGATCTGCTGCCCCTGAGCCCCATCTCCATGGACAGAACCCAACAGTGCCTCCCTTCCGGGCTCCCTGAGGTGAATCAAACCTCAACGCAGAGACATGTGGGGATCTAAGAGGCAGGCCTGGGGAGGTCTGCAAGCTAGAGCCCACCCTGGGCTACCACTGGGCCAAACTGGCCACTCACCAACCTCTGAGGGTGGCCGAAGTAGGGAGCCCATCCCGCCCTTGAGTTTGGGCTACTCTACCAGGACACACCAGGATGCTACCTAGAGTCTCACTATGCTGCTGAAAGCCACTCACTCACCGATGCCACTCCCAAGACCCAAACAATGATCAGTGCTGGGGACAGCAGTCAGCTCACAGTTCCCACCACCTCTCGGTTCCAGGTGTCCAGGAGCAGGCTCCCTGTGTGTCAGAGTATGTATGTGTCTGTGGGTTTTCATGGCTGAAGCTGGAGAAGGTCGCCAGGCCTTGATCCTGAGGCACCTCGGGGTGGATTCAAACCTTCAACCTCTGAACCTTGATTCTGATTTGAAACAGCTGTGCCCCTAAATTATCTGTACCACCCAGGGCTTTCTTGTAAGAACAAGAGGCCAGGAGAGTCAAAGGGAAAAGAGAAGAGCTGGAGATTTGTAAGACTTCTTAAAAGCTATTCCATCCTCCATGGCTCCCCCCCCCGCCCCCCAAATTCAGAATATATAAATACAAGAACCTGAGACACAACATCCCTCACTGACCCAAAGCCCTACAGGGGACAACACTGGAGACACATTGTGGGAATTGTGCCTGATCTGACCCCACCACACCGAGACAAAACACTAAGGGCAACAGAACAGCAAGAGGAGCAGAGCAAGGAAGTCCCAAGAGAGTACCAAAAACAGACTTTGGGGCCAGGGTGTGGGACCCCATCAGACTCAACCAGAAAACACTCCTAAATGTCAACAAACAGACCTTGGAACTATTTACAGGTTTTTCTTTTTGGTCATTTTTTGTTGTTGTTTTGTTTTCTTTTGTTGCTTTGCTTTGCTATGTCTTGTTTTTTTATGCACATTATTATCTCTGCAGGTCTATCTAGATAAGATAGGCTAGATAAACAAATCTGGAGGAGAAAACAACAGGACCAACGGTTCGGGGCGGGGACATGGGATACAGGGAGATGGGGGAAGGAAGTGGTGTTAACAAACCCAGGGACAAGGGAACAACAAGTGATCCAAAATCAGTGGTGAGGAGAGTGTAAGAGGCCTGTTAGGGCATGATCTAGGTTAATGTAACTGAGAGGAATTACTGAAACCCAAATGAAGGCTGAGCATGATAGTGGGACAAGAGGAAAGTAAAAGGAAATAGAGGAAAGAACTAGGAGGCAAAGGGCACTTATAAAGGTCTAAATACAGGCATGTACATATGTAAATATATATGATGGGGAAATAGATCTATGTGCATATATAGGTTTAGTATCTATGTGCATGCATAAGTTTAGTATTAAGGTAGCAGACGGACATTGAGCCTCCACTCAAGTACTCTCTTAATGCAAGAATACTGTTTTATTAAACTGGCATTCCATGATGCTCACCTGTCTGACACAACCGCTGAAGACAAATGTGTGCATAAGCAAATGTGGTGAAGAAAGCTGATGGAGCCCGAAAGATAAAGAGTCTGGGGTCTTAAAGGCTTGAAGGTAAACAAGCAGCCATCTAGCTCAGAAGTAACAAAGCCCACATGGAAGAAGCACACCAGCCTGTGTGATCACAAGGTGTCAATGGGATCAGGTATCAAAGAACAAAAAATCTTATCATTGTGAATGAGGGGGAGTACGGAGTGGGGACCCAAAGCCCATCTGCAGGCAACTGGACTTCCCCTTACAGAAGATTCTTGGGGAGGAAACAAGCCAGTCAGCAGGGTGCAGCATAGCAATAATGAAACACACAAATTTCCTCTAGTTCTTAAATGCTTCCTCTCTCCCACTGTCATGATTCCGATTCTACCTTACAAATCTGGCTAGACCAGAGGATGTCTGGTACAGATAAGAACTGGAAAAACATGAATCCAGGACAGATGATCCCCTCAGGACCAGTGGTGAGAGTGGTGGTACTGGGAGGGTAGAGGGAAGGTGGGGTAGAAAGGGGGAACTAATTACAAGGATCTACATATAACCCCCTCCCTGGGGGATGGACAACAGAAAAGTGATGAAGGGAGATGTCGGACAATGTAAGATATGATAAAATAATAATTTATAAATTATCAAGGGTTTATGAGGGTGTGACGACAGGGAGGGAGGGGAAAAAGTGAGGAGCTGATACCAAGGGCTCAAGAGGAAAGCAAATGTTTTGAGAATGATGAGAGCAACAAATGTACAAATGTGCTTGACACAATGGATGTATGTATGGATTGTGATAAGAGTTGTACGAGCCCCCAATAAAATGATTAAAAAACAAACAATGAGAATGGCAAAATAAACAAACAAACAAACCAGTACCAGAAACCAAAACATAATTGGTATTTTTAAAGGAGTCTTCAATGGACGCTTCTTGGGTTTACTCACAACTCCAAAAACAACAACAAAACAAACTCCTTGCCATTCAGTCAATTCTGACTCACAGTGTTCCTATAAGGCAGTGTAGAACTGCCCTGTGGGTTTCTGACACTGAAACCATTTATAGGAGTAGAAAGCTTCATTTTTCTCCCTCATAGCGGCTGGTGGTTTCAATCTGCTGACCTTGTGGTTAGCAGCCCAACATATTTACCACTTCACCACCAGGTTCTCTTACACCTAGGATGCTCCATAAAGGGCCCTGGTGGTGCAGTAGTTAAGTATTTGGCTGTGAATGGGAAGGTTGGGCAGTGCAAGCTCATCGGCTACTCTTGGGAAAACAGATGTGGCAGTCTGCTTTTGTCAATGTTGACAGTTCCCTTCATTCCCAAACTGGCAGCTAAACAATAGTAAGAGTAATGATAACCCTGGGGCTGTGTGTGTGTGTGGAGGGGGCTACATACCTTAGAATCATCAACCACTGGTATCTAAAGGGTTGCATTGGCCTAAGGACAAATTTTCAAAGGGTTAGGAGAGGAGGAGGAACGGGAGCAGGAAGCAGGGAGGATATGGGATGAGTGCTGATTCTACTGTGGGGTGCCAATCAACGAGAAGAAACAAGAGGTGCTCTAGGAGCCCTGGTGGGCAGTGGTTACGTGTTCGGCTGCAGTCTGTGAGGTCAGTAGTTCGACACTACAGCTGCTCCAAGGGTGAAAGGTGGGGCTTTTCACCCCATAAAGAGTCTGGGATACTCACAGGGGCACTTCTACCCTGTCCTATCGGGACACTAATTCCGCTGTGACTCAATGTCAGTGAGCTCGACTTCAGTTTGGTGCATGAATTGTTGAATGGAAGACTGAGCTGTTCTGTAGATCTCCACCCAATTCGCAAATAAGCTTAAAACAAACAAACAAGGTACAACCTTAGAAATCACATGGGGACTTTGTCCTTTAGGGTCCTCTAGCTCTGTCATCTGGATGGTTCTTGAAGCATGGCAAGAATTAGTCTCAAGTACTTGGGACATATGATCAGGAGTGACTAATCCCTGGAGAAGGGCACCATGCTTGGTAGGGGGTCAGCCAAAAAAAAAAAGGCAGAAGATCCTCCAAGAGAAGACGTGACACCGTGGCTGCAACACGGGGCTCAGACAGCAACAGCGCTGAGGGTGCTGTGGGATCAGGTGGTGTCCCCAGGGTCACCATGGACTATAACTGACTCCCTGGTCTCTAACAATAACAAGCCCCTCTGGTTCTCTGCTGTCTCGGGTGGGACAAATAGTTAGCTACTGGGTTGTTAACCCAAGGGCTGGGCATTCTAGTCCACCACGGAGGACCTTGGAAGAAAGGCTTGGCAATCTCTTTCCCAAAAGTCACGGCCATTAAAACCCTATGGAGCAATTTTACCTGGACACACTGGGCTGTGTGTCCAGAATTGGCTGGATGGGAAGTTGCTTCTGTTTCTCGAGTGGCCACTGCCGGGTGCCAGACGGCACACTTGCCTGAAAGATGTGAGTCATGGAGAGCAAAGGGGGACAGAGGCAGCTATTTGGACTTCACTGGGCTCCGAGGACGAGCCCAGCTGAGGTGGAGATGCTGCCTCGGGCTGGTGATGCAAGCTGTGAGTGTGAACCCTCACACCTGGGCAAAGGCGGCCAGCTCTGTGCAGCAAGACATAACTCACCGGTTTGTTTAGTTTGGCTTACATCTGTCTTCTAAACCAACGCGCTGCCAGAGGCTCAACTTCCAGCCACACACGAGGTGTGTGGGAACAGTAACTGCAGGGAGATCCACACTCCTGAGAACCCACACACCCAGCTGAGAGGAAAAGGGCAGCGTTGGACCCAGGACAAAGGTCGGCAGGCAGGGTGGGTTAGGAGAGGAGGAGGGCAGGCAGCAGGAAACAGGGAGAGTGGGACGAGCACCCCATGTACTGAATGGAATACCGAGCTGCTCGGTCAACCTTTGCCCAGCACCCAATAAACATTTAAAAACAAACAAACCCCAGTCTTTCATTTGTGTGAAGAATTCTTTTTGGGAATTCCATTTCCAATCGCTTATATATTAATATGTGGTCAAAAGGCTCCACATAGAAACAGTCAAAAGATCATTTACAAAACCCTGGAAAGGCCAGACTAAGGGAAGGCACTGAAAAATGATGCTTTTGGGGGAAATTTTATAGAGTTTAGGAAAATGTTTGCAAGATGAGGTAAAAGTTTAGGAGAACACTAAACAGCACACAGTGAATGAGGCAGGTCCATGTGATGACAGTGGTTGCTGTGGGACCGTGGCAGCCATCACCAGTGTGTCAGATAGACCGGCGTCCCCAGGGCTTATGGGAAGGAGAGGCAGCAGGTGTTTATTTACTCAATAAGCACACACATGCTCAGAAACACGGCAAGCAACCAGGCACTGAAAGGCAGGCCTCTAAGACATCTTCAAGGCTTAACAGCGTCTCCTGCTGGATTCCTCTAAAAAATTGGCGATTTTATCGCTGGTCTCACATACTCTGAGGTTCCTGAGTGGGCCCACAGGAGGGTGAAAGCGCTCAGCAGCCTCAGAGAGGCTTCCTGGAGGTGGCGGCAGGTGGGAAACACCCTGGGATGCGCCAGAGGATGCTAGAAGACCAGCTCATACTCCCCATCTAACAGCGTGAACAGCACATCAGCTTCCCCAGAGGGAGGCCTGTGGGTGGTGCCTGTCTGCGTGCTGGGGAAGCAAGAAAGAGAGAGGAAGTTTCCGTGCTCCCTGCGAAGACAGCAAGTAACAGCAGATCTGACAAGGGACTTGCAGAGGACAGGAGGCGGTGCCCAACAGGAGGGTCCTGAGGCAGAGGAGACGCAGGCCAGATGGGGCTTAGAGGTGGGCTGGGGGTGGGGAGGCTGGAGGTCAGGGAAGGAGGCTGGTGGCAGCCACAAGGAGGCATGGTAAGAAACCCAGGCAGCGAGCGGTGAATGGGTGCCAGGTCCTTTAAGTGTGTTAGGGTGTCAGCTCACAAGGCCCCTGAGTGGCCCTCAGAGACTGAGTCCGCTCCTGCCCTCATCTCCTGGTGGAGGACACCAGGGCCCCACACTGCCAACTGACCCAGATGGAGCAAGGGGGTATGACTAACCCAGCTGAGGCCTCGGGCCACCACCCCAGCCATCACGAGAAGGGGGATAAAGGAGCCGGCTCTCAAGATGCTTGGGGGTGGGGGTGTGAAGTGGCTGTGACTTGTCATGGGGTCTGACTGGGTGACGGTGAGCCAGGCACCAGGTTTCCCTCCTGAGCCAGCAGCTGCTGCTTGAGCCGCCTCACAATCACCTGTGCTGAGGAAGCAGGAAAGGGAGGAGGAGGGAGGGAAACTGAGGCACAGACAGGATGTGGGATAAGGGGTGCCCCATGGTGGGAACGGCACTCAGTGACAGGAAGCAGAACGTGTGTGAACTGTGGAAGGGACCACGGGCTTCTGAGAGGCGGAGGCGGCCGCACATCTTACCCAGGTTATTGTCGATCTTCTGGTGGTAGGCACGGAGGTGCTGGTTCTTGGGGTACAGGTCGCAACTCACAGCAGCACTAGCCCCTGCAGGGATGGCGTCTACTTTTAAACAGAAACACCAAAGAAACTATCAACAGTCATTTTTCTTTTTAAGTCACTGCTTCACAAAATCCATCTTAACCCGAGGGAATGGTTTCAGAGCTTAAGTTGTGAACACCGGTTTGCAGAAAGCTATGGATAACAGTGGAAGCCCAAGTCCATTCACAGGGTCCCCACCTGGATCAAGTCTGGGAAGACTGACCGTAGTTGAGGGATGAAAATAGCCTTGCTATCAGGCAGCTGTGTACTGTAAAGTGGAGTATGGCAGACGAAGTTAGGTTAAAAGGTAATAACATTATTTGATCTCCCTTTGGACCATTTTTAAAGTGGTTTGTGTTTTAAAGTGAAGGGAAATACACATGGATGAAGCTCCGGTGAGTCCCCTCCGAGCACAGACAGGGTATGAACAGCCTTGCTAGGGTGCAGCGCACACTAGAAAGGAGATGATGGCAGACGCAGTTAAGATTTAACACCTTATCGTTCGATCTCCCTTTTGACCCATTTTAAAGTTGTTCGAGTTTTCAGTATTACCTGCTTTCTTTTCGATTGAGGTTTTTGCTCCAATTTACTTTGTTATTGTTCTTAGGTTTTGGGGGGGGGTAGGTTTTTCTGTACGTGAAATCCAGGATGGATAAATCTACGGAGACGGAAACTGGATGAATGGTTCCTTAGGAGGATGGCAGGGGAGGTTGGGGGGAAATGGGGAGTTAATAACAGCGAGTACAAGAAAGGAGACACTATTCTGCAGTTGATGGAAGTGATGATTGTACAACTCATCCTCACATGAGTGAACCTGAACTGTGTGATACGTGAATTATATGCCAACAAAACTGCTGACAAACACACCAAATTCATCATAACCTGGAAAAATGTGGGACCAACACCCGAGTGAAGTGAGCAGCCTTTGGCACTGGGGCAGAAGGGGGTGGGAGGGGCGCTCAGGAGAGAGATGTCCACAGACAAGCAGGGGTTCCAGTCCTTTGGTAATCACAGCCAAACACCCGGGTTGCAGGACAGATGCAGGTACGAGCGCCAGAACGAAATAGATCCATCCAGGCAACAATAGGGCAGTCGGCCTGCAACGAGGCAAACCTGCTGCAGGCCTGCCAGCTCACAGGGTGGCCTTTCTCACGCCAGGAGCAGCCAGCCGTCTTGCTCTTTGCTGACCCTCAGTTCTTTCTTCCGGTCTCTCCTGAGGCAGACCAGCATGCGGTCCAGGCCTTGAAGAATGCATCCCTGCAGCGCCTGGCAGTGTTTGGCTCTGTTCTTCACGGGTCACTGAGTCGGAGCCGATTGGACAGCACCTCACAAAAACAGAGGCAATCTGCATCCTTGGGCTCGGACTCAGGGACCCTTCCTCCCCCTTTGAAGCCATCCATCTTCAAATATTCAACTCTGTCCCCTCTTATTCAGAGGGGACCTCTCAACCTCCCCTGCCATCCTCCTAAGGAACCATTCATCCAGTTTCCATCTCCGTAGATTTATCCATCCTGGATTTCACGTACAGAAAAACCTACCCCCCCCAAAACCTAAGAACAATAACAAAGTAAATTGGAGCAAAAACCTCAATCGAAAAGAAAGCAGGTAATACTGAAAACTCGAACAACTTTAAAATGGGTCAAAAGGGAGATCGAACGATAAGGTGTTAAATCTTAACTGCGTCTGCCATCATCTCCTTTCTAGTGTGCGCTGCACCCTAGCAAGGCTGTTCACACCCTGTCTGTGCTCGGAGGGGACTCACCGGAGCTTCATCCATGTGTATTTCCCTTCACTTTAAAACACAAACCACTTTAAAAATGGTCCAAAGGGAGATCAAATAATGTTATTACCTTTTAACCTAACTTCGTCTGCCAGACTCCACTTTACAGTACACAGCTGCCTGATAGCAAGGCTGTGTACTGTGACCCAATCTATCAAATGGGTCACAGCCTGATGGCTACCTTTTGGTGTCACAAGCCTTTTTGTATAAGAGAGAAAGAGAGTGGTGAGAGAAGCATCCCTCTCTCTCTCTGCCCCTCTGCCTTCCTGCTTGCTAGCACTCTGCCTGCCTCCAGGGACGTACCCTGGGAGCTGTCGGTGCCCTGCTATGTGCCCACCAACCTTGGATCCACGTGACTCTGCATCCACCGGCCTGTGATCCTGCTGCACTCTGCTTCACCTTTCTGCACCACTGGCCTGCAGCTATGTGAGTCTGAAGAGGGCCCCGGCTTGCATTGGACTTAGGGACTTGAGCTGGACAGGGCTGGGATGCCTTCTTGATACTAGATTACTTCCTGATATAAAGCTCTTTCTTATACATCGATGAAATGTCACTCGATTGTGCTTCTCGGGCAACCCGGCCTAACATACACGTTCTGTGGTTATACTGGGCCCAGGTTCCTCTCCCTCGATCCAGGTCAGCTGACAGCCATTCTTCACTGATCTCCATCCACACCCATTCTGACATGTCATCCCACACACTCACAGGCTCTGGGGTTAGGACGCAGGCATCCCTGGTGGCTTTATCCTCCCAGCTCAGGGGTCCTCCTGCAGTTGGCATTTCAGAGTTCTGAGCTCCAAGGGGCAGGAAGGGATGGTGGCCTCTCTCTTTTTTCAGTGGGACACAGCTCCCACTTCCTTATTCATCCTTCCATGGGGGTGGGAGGGCAGAGGGGGAGGAATGAGCCCTACTTTCTGACACACTTCCAGTTGCTTTCGCTTGTCGGGCGGCAGCGGAACAGCGCCTCACTCCATGCCCACCACCAGGACCCCCGAGGCCACAGGCCAGTGAGCACAGGTGCCCACTAACCTGAGTCGTCCAGCTTTCTGAGGTTTGGGTGGCTGGCCTGATATTTTGACTCCTGCTCTTTACTTGTGGTTATAGCTTCTTTCAACCTTTAAAGATAAGAAAAAAACAGAAAAGAATTTGAGAAAGGGAAGTGGCCTCTCACAGGGGAGCCAGGCTTAGACACAGGCTTCCTAGACCCAGAAAACCCAGTACCATCCCAGCATTCCTTCTGGTGTTCCCCAGGAGTTCCTGGGAGCCTGGCAGAGAGCCACAGGAAGCTTACAGGGAAGTCAGCTCTGGCAGCTTAGCATCTGACCACAGAGCCCAATCTCAGAAAAAAGGTCTATGATCAGGCAGAAGAAAGCCCCATGCAATGAATAAATAAGTACTTTGGACAGCAAGCCACAACCACAAGTCAGATGTAGCATGCTGCCTGCTTTCCCCCAGGGGGAGTGGGGCAGCAGGGAATACTGGCTGATACTCAAAGCAAATCCCTCCTTTCCCACAGCATAGAGCTGCTCATATTGGAATGTCTTGTGGTGTCCCACAGTGCACTTGTACAAACTTGAAGGTGAGCACTTCTGGCTCAGAAGTGGGGCAGTGGATTAGGCTGTTCACTATAGGGTCAATGGTTCAAACCCACTAGCAGTTCTGAGGCAGAAAGATGAGGCAGTCTGTTTCCATCAAGATTTTTAACCTCAGAAACCCTATGGGTCTGTTCTGTCCTATGGTATCGATAAGAGTTGTAACCAACTTGACAGCAGTGAGTTTCTTTTGCTTTGCGTTAGTGGCTCAGTGATTTAACCAGTAGGCTACTTACCAAAAGGTCAACAGTTCAAGCCCACCAGCTGCTCCTCAGGAGAAAGATGACAGCAGAATCAACTTGACAGCAATGTGTTAGATGATCCAAAAATAAAAAAACCAAACTCACTGTTATCAAGTAGATTCTGACTCAGAGCGACCCCTCAGGACGGGGTAGAACTGCCTATGTGAGTTCCCAAGACTGTGACTCTTTACAGGAGTGGAAAACCTCCTCTTTTCCCCAGAGTGGCTAGTGGTTTTGAACTCCTGATCTTGCAATTAGCAGGCCAAAACAAGTAAACGACCACACCACCAGGGCTGCTGGGTTAGATGATCGAGGACACACACTCTGAACAAGTCAACCCTGGGTCACTGGTCCTTTGGCTAGGAAAGTCAGGGTTTCATCATTTTTCTCCTTAGTAGGCTTATCTTGCCTGCTGACTGGTATTTCTCCCAGTCTGAGTCTTTAATGGGTCTCCACCCCCCAGGAGGAAGTCAGACTGTGAAGGGATGCACAGAGTGTCACAGCACCGCAAGGCAGCCTAGGACTTGGGGATGGTCAGGAACATGCCACTGATTTCCGCAAGAGTGAAAGCAAACCTAGAGTGCTGCCAGGCTGAACGCTGGAGGGAGATGCTTGCCTTTGAGCTCGCTGGGTGGCCAGCCAGCCTGCACCCCTCACGGCCAACTGCCTTTCATCTCTGTGTCCTCAGGTACAGTCAAGCTAGCTCCAGCTCATGGCGACCCTACACACTGGAAAGAATGAAGCACTGCCTGGTCCTGCGCCATTCTCACAATCGCTCTATGTGAGTCCATTATGGTTACACATCGGACTGATAACTGCAAGGCCAGCAGTTTGAAACCACTAGCTGCTCGTTGGGAGAAAGATAGGGCTTTCTAATACTGTAAAGAGTTACAGTCTGGGAAACCCACAAGTTCTACCTTGTCCTATAGGGTTGCTGTGAGTTGGCATCAATTTGAGTGATAGTTACATAATCTGTTGTCAATTTGAGACTAGTAAGAGTGAAGGAGTGGAGTTTAGCATGTCAATCAGGTCGCAGCTTGACGACCTCATTTGGAGGTGCTAAGGAGAGAAATAGCTCATTGGAGGCGAGACACAGACTTACTCCCTGTGAGACATTCCTGTTGACAAGACACATGGAGCTATGCTAGAGCCCTGGAGCTGGAGAAGCGACGTGGAGACCTCTGCCAGCGTTGAGATGTTTCCACTGCCACTGGATCCACAAGACTTTCCACCTACTGGCCTGTGATCTTCCTACATTCATCATCATTGCATGTGTTGCATGAGTCTGAAGAATAATTTTGTGTTAGTCTGGGTTGACTAGAGAAACAAATTCATAGACACTCATATGTATATAATAAAGAGCTTTATATACAAGAGCAATTGAATATTGAGAAAACATCCCAGCCCAATCCAGATCAAGTCCGTAAGTCCGATATTAGCTCATATGTCCAATACCAATCTGTAAAGTCTCCTTCAGACTCATGAAACACATGCAATGACGCCGAATCCAGGTAGATCACAGACCAGTGGGTGGAAAGTCTTGTGGATCCAGTGGCAGTGGAAACATCTCAACGTTGGCTGGGGTCTCCATGTGGCTTCTCCAGCTCCAGGGCTCTTAAATAGCTCCATGTGTCTTGTCAACAGGATTATCTCACAGGAAGTGAGTCTGTTTCCGGCCTCCAGTGAGCTATTTATCTCCTTACCACCTCCAAATGAAGTCATCAAGCTGCGACCTGATTGACAGGCTAAATTCCACCCCTTCACTCTTAATCCTCAAACTGACAACAGATTATGTAACTACCACAAATTTATAGATTGGTACCGGACATATGGGCTAATATCGGACTTATGGACTTGATCTGGACTGGGCTAAGATGTTTTAATATACAATTGACCTTTGATATAAAGTTCACTCTTACATATATATGCATGTCTTTTGTTTCTCTAGTCCAGTGGTTCTCAACCTTACTAATGCCACGACCCTTTAATACAGTTCCTCATGTTGTGGTGACTCCTCAACCATAAACTCAACCATTGCTACTTCCTAACTGTCATTTTGCTACTGTTATGAATCAGGCGACCCCTGTAAAAGGGTTGTTCGACCCCCAAAGGGGTCACAACCCACAAGTTGAGAACTGCTGCTCTAGTCAACCCAGACTAACATAACTTAATAGCAGTGAGTTTGGTGTTTGAGCTTAGTGATATACTAGGAGCTCTGTTGGCATAGTGGTTGAGAGTTGGGCTGATAACAACAAGGTTAGCAGTTCAAAACCACCAGCTGCTCCTTGGGTGAAGGGGCTTTTTACTCCCAGAAAGAGTTACAGTCTGGGAAACCCATTGGGGCAGTCCAACCTTATAGGGCTGCTACGAGTTGCCATGGACACGGTGGTACTGAGAGAAAGGAGTAGCCATCTGCTGAAACCCTACGGATCACGATGACCCAACCCTGTTGTGGGTGGGACTGCCACAGCTTATTGAAGCACTTATTTCTAGAGGCCCAATTTATAGAGTTTCGACTGGGCTTTAAGCAAATGAACATAATCACAAATCACAAGAGATATCTGGTTTCAGAATGTCTATGGAGCTGTCCCTCCCATGAGAAACTTAGGTTTTTGCAGCCCCCCCAAGACACTTGACATAAACTGAAAATCTTGGCCATTCGCCCAAAGCTCTGCTTTCTGCTGCTTTTTACTGGCCTTCAGATCTGGGAAGCTGAAGCCACACTTACCTGCTGTTGGGTTGGGCAGCCTGGACACCATTCTGCTCAGGGCGGGTCTCTGCTGGTTTCGATTTGAAGTAATTGACAAAACCCCCAAACATGCTCTTGATGCTGTTGATGTGCCTCTGGCTGGTCTTCAGGTCTTGGTCCATAGTGTCCACCATCTTCTCTGTGCGTTCCAAGACGCCTCGCTGACGGACAAGTTCCTTGGAAAGGAAACGAGGGGGGGGAGGGGCGATATTATTCCCTTTTGGTCCATCTCTCCTCCACCTGTGGAGGGTCACGTGCAGCGGGGATGTTATGAGCCCTTGTGGAATACGGACAGGCATGTATTGTCTCTGAAAGCACATTCCTTTGTTCCCACCCACTGTCCTCACCTCTCCTTGCCGTCCTGCTCCAGGGGAGGCTGGCTCACAGGACAGTATTACTTAAGGATGAATAATTGGAAGAATGAGCTTGTGGGGGTCAGTCTGGGGCCTGGGCTGGTGGTAAACCCTCACCCTGACTAGCCCCTTGGTAACGTTCTACCTGTCCCTGTCCTGCACTTTGGCTTCTTCCTGCCCAGAGATGGAGTCACCTAGATACCTCTTCAAATGACCTCCATTCTTGGTGGTCTTCAACATTTACATGTTCCCTCAGCCCCAAAGATGTGGCCCGAGAACCTGGCAGGCTCTGTTCAGTAAAAATGTTCCCCGTGAGGAGACGGGCCAGTCAGGGTGCAATGCAGAAATGATGAAACATACAACTTTCCCCTGGTTCCTAAATGCTTCCTCTCCCCCACTATCATGATCCCAATTCCACCTTACAAATCTGGCTAGACTAGAGGATGTACACTGGTACAGATAGGAACTGGAAACACAGGGAATCCAGGGCAGATGATCCCTTCAGGACCAGTGGTCTGAGTGGTGATACTGGGAGGATGGAGGGAGGGTGGGTTGGAAAGGGGAGCCAATTACAAGGATCTATGTATAACCTCCTTCCTGGGGGATGGATAACAGGAAAGTGAGTGAAGGGAGACGTCAGACAGGGCAAGATATGACAAATTAATAATTTATAAATTATCAAGGGTTCATGAGGGAGGGGGGAGCGGGGAGGGAGGGGAAAAATGAGGAGCTGATGTCAGGGGCTTAGGTGGAGAGAGAGCGAATGTTTTGAGAATGATGAGGGCAATGAATGTACAAATGTGCTTTACACAATCGATGTATGTATGGATTGTGATGAGTTGTATGAGCCCCTAATAAAATGATTAAAAAAAAATGTTCCCAACCATGTTCCTCAGAATATGTCCAACCAGGATTTGTCAGGTGGTGGTGGTGAGGGAAACAAAAAAAGAGGCTGGAGTTTTGGCTCCTCCTGTGTGTTAGTCTCAGGCAATCTTTGCTAACAAAGTAGGGCTTTACATGAAGTTTCCACTTGTTCGCTCCAGTTTTCTTGTGCGTATTTTGGGGGGGGGGGGACAGGTGCTGGTGGTTGCTATTTGAGAGTAAGTAAAAAAATATTGTTACTGGGGTTCCAGTCCACATATGTAGAGAAACGGACCCAAACATGTCTCTAGGATCAGGAGACAGCTGCGTGTAAGTTCCCACAGCAACAAACTGATCTTGGTCTCCCTGTTGTCAGTGCCAGAGTCAGTTCCCCTCACAGCAACCCTGTGGACAGAGCCATCAACACTGCCCAGTCCGGCGCCACCCGCACCATTGTTCTTCCATTGGAGCCTGTGTTGCAGCCTCTGTGTCCATCCATCTTGTCAATGAGCTTCCTCTACTTTACCCAGCATGATGTCCTCCTCCAGGGACTGGTCTTTCCGGGCACGTCCAATGTATATGAGATGAAATCTCACCATTCTTGCCTCCAAAGGGCATTCTGGCTGTACGTCTTCAAAGACAGATCTATTTGTTCTTTTGGCCATCCAGGGTACTTTCGATCTCCTTTACCAGCACCTTAATTCAAATGCGCTGATTCTTCTTCAGGCTTCCTTATTCAATGTCCAACTCTCACATGCACAAGAGGCAATTGGAAATGCATGGCTTGCATCAGGTGCACCTTAAGCCTTAAAGTAACATCCTTGCTTTTCAACACTCTAAAGAGGTCATGTGCAGCTAATTTACCCAATGCAATGGATTGTTTGATCACTGACTACTGCTTCCATGAGTACTGACTGTGGATCCAAGCAAGACAAAATCCTTCGCAACTTCAACCTCAAGACCCTCAAGGTCTTACCCTTTTTCGCTGCCCCTCAACTTTAACAAGCATGATGATTTTTGAAGTCTTGTTCATTCCAGGAATTTGAACTGGGAGATGCTTCGAGCGGCTGAGGGCAGGGGTGAGGGTTGGGAGTGGAGGTATTGGGGTGCTGCCCAGAGCAGTGTGTGTCACCTGCTTTCCAGCAGTGCTTTCTTCTCTGCCTTGGGGCAGAGAGACCACCAGGATGAAGGACCTGACAGTACCATCCCCAGTTCACCTTGAGGGCTTGCTCTCCTGTTTGAGCCTTTCAGACCCTCGGAGTACGTGTGACTGTGCTCACTGGGAGGAAACACAGTATGTGGCTTGGTTGACGGAAGCCACAGGCCCGCGTGAGGCAGAGAAGCCTGTCCTGCACCTGGAGCTACCCTCTAACAGGCTCTGTGTGCTGACACGGGGGCACACCTGCAGCCAGAGGGAGGAGCATTAGCTGATGAGGTGACTAGACACACTGTGCTGGTGACCCCAGCCCAATAGGCAAGGAGGCAGGCTTGGCAAGGCACAGGCCAGGAGCACTAGGAAATCAAGCAAAGATGGCCTGGAGAGCCAGGCCAAACTCCATCTTAGCCTGTACAAGGCAGGCTGCAGGTACTGCAGTCTCAAGGTGTTCCCACTCCAGATAGGGGCCATCAGTCACCATGACAATAGTAGGTTTCTGAGGCCACAGGGCTTGAGTGCCCTCAGTTCTAGGGGTGTGTTCACAAAGTGCCCAGGTGTCAGGATTACAGACACACAGGTGCTTCTTCTCCCTTGCACTCTAGAAAAAGAAACTGGCTGGGAGGTGCAGTGCCCCAGAACCACCTGAAGAGGGCACTGCCCACTCTTGGGCTCTGGCTTTCTGTCTAGTGCAGGGGTGCTGGTGGATGGAGGGGTAGCACCTGGCAGGGCACACAATGGCCTGTGGGAGGCCTTCCACCCAGAACAGAGGCCAGTAGGCCAGGGCCCTCTCCACAATCACATGACCCACAAGCAGGGTGCTCTGAGGTTTCAGTCTGTAGGTCCAAGTGAGTGCCCACTCGGAGCTAGTCACAGGCCCAGGTGCTGGGCTCAGGAGTGAACTCAGCCACTACCAGTTTCTGCTTTCAGAGGCTTACTAGATGAGGGAGGCCCAATCAGGTCGTGGTTACCGACAGCACTGTGGTGTTTCCCTGAGTCTAGGACCCCTCTCACAGGGGCAGAAAGAAAGGAGGTCATTGCACACATAGCTCCGTGGGAGTGGGGGACGGATATTGCATTGTTAAGGGGCTTCCTAAATGGGTGGGGACATCTTTCTGGCAGAGGCTGCAGCATACAGCCTGGGGAGGGGCAGGGAAGAGGAACTGAGAAAGGAAATGGAGTTCTGCTCCTTGAGCCTGGAGGGGGGTGGGGGGGAACACTTGGCAGGAGGCCAGCAGGGCCCAGGGAGTGGGTGATGGGGATCTTCAAAGGACAGTATAAAACCAACCTCACTGCCAACCAAGTCCATGCCAACTCACAGTGACCTTATAGGACAGGGTAGAACTGTTCCTGCAAGTTTCCACGATGAACTCTTTAAGGGAGCAGAAAGCCTTCTCTCCACTGGTGGTTTCCTGCTGCTGACCTTGCAGTTGGCAACCTGACCAGGGCTCCTTTCCCGGGCAGTAGTCATCACCAAGTGCATCTCAGATGGGCCTCTGTCGTCCTGGCAACACTTCAACATCATAGGCTTTTCATCCCACAATTCCCCCCGTTCTAGCTAGTGTTCAAATGATGCACTGAGATTAAATGACACATTGCATTGGGAACCCCAGTTGCACAAGACCTCTTCAGAGTTCAGTCTTGAAAAGCAAGGAAGTGGCTTTGAGGACTAAGGTGTGCCTGACCCAAGCCATGATACTTTCAATCACCTGATATGCACATGGAAGTTGGAGAATGAATAAGGAAGACCGAAGAAGAATTGATGTGTTTGAATGGTAATGCTGGAGAATACTGAAAGTACCGTGGATTGCCAAAAGAACAGGTCTGTCTTGGAAGAAGTACAGCCAGAGTGCTGATGAGCGTCAAGGATGGCGAGGCTCCGTCTTACATACTTTGGATGTGTCGTCAGGAGAGACCAGTTCTTGGAGAAGGACATCATGCTTGGTAAAGTAGAGGGGCAGCGAAATAGAGGAAGGCCCTCCACAAGATGGACTGACACAGTGGCTGCCATCAGTGGGCTCAACCCTAAGAACAGTTGTGAGGGTGGCAGAGGACCGGGCAGCATTTCATTGTTATGAGGAGGGTCACTGTGAGCTTGAACCAATTGGATGGCACTGAACAATAGCTAGTGTTCTGGGCCACTGTGCCGGAACTGCTGGGAAGCCCTGTGCCAATGGATCAATAATGGCCCAGGAAGAAAGGCTTGGTGATCGACTTGTGCAAAGTCAGTGAAGGTCAGCAGCATGGACCTCCTCCAGTCCAGCCCATAACCTGTCACGGCGATGGCTCAGGGTGGCCCAGCATCTCCTTTCACTGCCCGGGAAGTCCCCATGGGGGACAGGACTTGTTGACAGCTCAACAACAACGGATCAACAATGTGCAAAGGCCCATCTGGAGCCCACAGGCTGAACCTCAGGTTTGAGAGGTAGCTTGGTTGTGTTACCTCCTTCCCACAAAGCCCACACATGCACAGGTGCTGGCAGGACACAAACGAGGGGGCTTGAAAAGTTTCCCGGGGAAATGGAATGAGAAGATAGTGGAATATCCCCCCACAAGACTTTGAAGGCCCTGCCTAGGTTATGTGCACATGAAGCAAACCCAGACTCTCTCAGAAGCTTGGAGAAGGTTCAGAGAAAGGCTAGCGCTTAGGCTATGTGAGAAGCCCTGGAAGGTGAGGAGGCCAGGTGCCATGCATAGGTAAGGACGAAAGCACCAGCCTGGGTGGTCCATGCCTTCTCTATACACACTCCAAAGGGAGCCATGTCCTTGACCAGCCCCTAAGAGGAGACTCTCAGCCTTTGGAATGTTC